AAGAGTAGCACTCAGCCAACAGTCAACAAATCTGAAACTTTCAGCCTTAACACCACAATAAAATGAATTCGGCCAACAATCTGAGTTTGCACTCTTCTCTAGCCTGATTTCAAGGCAAGAATCTCACCAACACTCTGATGGCATTTTGAAACCTGTAGAAAACTTGGTAAAATCATGCTGACCCACAGAAACTATGAGATAATAAGTAGGCATTGCCTTAGGTCTCTAAGTTTGAGGCAGTTTGTTCTATAACCCAGGAAAACTAATAGAATCACACACTTCACATATCTAAAAACCAGATCTGATTATCAGCATTACCCTGAAAACAAAAATGTCCCAGTGTTGTCCACCTCGGACAACAACTCCATTTTTAGTTACTCAAGCCAAAAATTATAGAGTTGATCTTTATTGCTTTCTTTTCTAAATCTCCACATCCAATCCAAAAGCAAATAGTATTGGCTTTAAAACCAATATACAAGCCGGTCCCAGCACTCGGGAGGCTGAGGCGGGAGGATTGCTGAAAGTCGAGACCAGCCTGGGCTACAAAGTGAGCCCAAGGCCAGCCTGAACTGCATAGTGAGACCCAGTCTCAAAAAAGACAAAAAAAGAAGAAAACCAATGTACAGGCCGGGCGTGGTGGCTAACGCCTGTAATGCCAGTACTCAGGAGGTTGAAGCAGAAGGACTGTTACGAGTTCAAGACCAGCCTGGGCTACAAAGTGAGCTCAAGGCCAGCCTGAACCGCACAGAGATACCCTGTCTCAAAAAGACAAAAAAAAAAAAAACAAAAACAAAAAAACAAATCCAATATACACTCAATCTAACTTTATTTTACTACTACCACTGCCACTGTTACTTCTCCTGCATGTCACTATAACATCTCCTAACTGGGGTTTTCCTTTTACACCACTAAGCACAAGTGTGGTCCTTTTAAAATATCAGTCAGATAAAGTTTTCACCCCAAATGCTCCATGGTTCCACAGATTAAAACAAAAAATCTTAGCACAGCATATAAACCCAACATCATTTGGCACTCTTCCTTTCTAGTTCAACCCTCTCTGCCTCAACTATCACTCTCCCATCATTCAGCCCTCTCCACCACTCTGGCTACTTTGCTGTTCCTTGACCAAGCACATATCACTCTGAAGTTCTACAACTACTGGTCCACACAATTGTAGGGGTATTTCTTCACACAGGACTTTTCTGACTACTTGGTATTTAAAAAGGCACATGTAATGTCAGCACTCTAGGAGGCTGAGGTAGGAGGATCACAAATTCAGATTAAACCTAGGCAACTTAGCAACATCTGTCGCAAAGTTTTAAAAAAAATTTTTTAAAGTGCTAGGGTTACAGTTCAGTATGGAGGCCCTAGCTTCAATACTCAGTACCACCACCACTCCCCCCATCAAAAAAAGAGGGCAAGTTCCTTTGCCCCCACCCAAAACTCCCTCCTATCCTGCTTTTTTAGTCTCCATATCGCCAACTGATAATTTGTTTTGGTACTTGATTCTCCAAAATTAAGACTGAAATCCATCAAAGCTGGCACTTTTATTTACTGCCCTATCACCAAATTATACTAAATTAATGTTATATGTTGTCTTCTTAGAGAATTTAGAGTCTAAAAAAGTAGTTGAGTCGTAAGACTTTTTGATACAAAGCAAAAATTTTTAAACATCACTGTGAAATGATTCATCATCCAGAAATGTGCTTATTCTACACCTCATTAGAAGCGTTTCTGAGAAAGCATAGGAAAAATTCACACCTAGTCAAAATAACTGAAATACATAAGGCAACTGAACTAAAACATTTCTTTAAGGACTTCACGCCCCTCCCAGGCTGGAATCAACCCGAGAGTTTGTACATGCTAGGCAAGTGCTCTGCCACTAAACTACATTCCCAGCCTTCTGTTACGTTAAGATATCTCTTGCTAGGCCTTAGGGTTTAGCTCAGCAGCATAAGCGCCTACCTTGCAAGTGTGCGGTCATGAGTTCGATCTCTGGTACCGATAAAAAGGAAAAAGGAAAAAAAAAAAAAAAATCTCTTGCTAAACTGCCCAGGCTGGCCTTAAACTTGCAATCTTGCTGCCTCAAGCTTCCAAAATGCTAGAACTGGCAAGCATTCACATCATACCTGGCTCCTTTAAAATCACTGAAGAACCCCTACAACACAAAATATTTAAAAATATCTAACAATTTGTATTATTTAGGTTTTGTTTTTAAATAGAGAAAGGATCTCTGATGTTCAGCTGGTTTTGAATTTTCTACGTGGCCCAGACTGGCCTTGAACTCAGTGAGTGACCCTTCCTCCTGCTTCAGTTTCCCGAGTGCTGGGATTGCAAGTACGTGCCATCATGCCAGCCTAACAGTTCATTTTAAAATAACAACCACAAACCCATTACAAGTTAATAGTTTAATATAATTTTCTCAAAAAAATTGTGAGAGGCCAGGGATTTAGCTCAGTGGCATAAGCACCTGCCTGGCAGGCATGAGGTCATGAGTTCAATACCCAGTACCAAAAAAAAAGAAATTGTGAGAAATGGCGTTGCCTTATCTCTTTATAATTTCTATGCTTAATAAAAAACAAAATTGTCCCTTGACACTGATAAATATGTTGTTTTGGTTGAGGTAATATGAAAAAAATCTAACCTCGTACCAGCTACTAGTTAGAAAAGGTGAGTTTCAATATTTTTCAGTAACAGTGCATAGCTGCTAACACAACAGCAAGACTCAACAAGTTGTAATTTCCTAAAGGCTATCCCAGGTACAATGTGGACTTTGTATATTCTGTTAGTATTAAACTCCATTCATGTAGGGCCAGTCATGGTGGCACTCAGGAAGCCATCTTGGGCTACACAGACACTTCAAAGGCAGACTATGCTATGACTATGCTATACTATGCTGCAAGATTCTGTGTCAAATAAAACATAACCAACTATTGGTCTGTCTTGAACTGTGAATGGCTCTTGCACCTATGCATAGTTTTGTAAGACAATTTTGTAACCAGAAGTCTGTCAACACTGGCAAGATATTTTCCACAATTCTCATTTTCATGTGAAAATTCAAATCTTATCCCTGATAGCCAATACTGTCAGTCATTTCCTTGAAGTGGGTTAGGTGGAAGGGTTATACAGGCTGAAATAAAAAAATGTATCTACATACTATAATATGTATCCCTGCTAATTTACCTAAATTCTCTAAAGAATATGCCTATTGGTCAGGGGTTTAGCTCACTTAGGCCAAAGTGTCTGCTGGCAAACCCGAGGTCATGAGTTTGATCCCTGGCACCAAAAAAAAATGTTTAAAAAACGAATGTGCCTATTTCCCAGTTCGGAAAAATCATTTCCAATATATTCATGATAATTTGTTCAAATAAAAATGTTTAACTTCCTGAAATCATTAATACATTAGATTAAAAAGCAAAACAAACAACCTTGTATTTTTCCTGTTTCTCTGCTGTTGCAACAAAGGCAGTTTGGAAAAAAAAATCTATATAATTCCATCGCTCAGGAGACTGAGACAGGAGGATCATTGTGAGTTTGAGACCAGCCTGGGCTACAAAGTGAGCTCAAGGCCAAGCCTAAATTGCAATAATGAGACCCTGTCTCAAAAATACACACAAAAGGGGCTGGGGTTTTAGCTCAGCGGCATAAGCGCCTGCCTTGCAAGCAGGCAGTTGTGAGTTCGATCCCTGGTACCAATAAAAACGAAAAAGACAAAAAAAAAAAAAAAAAAAAAAAAAAACACACAAAAAGAAATCTATTTGGAATTTTGAGAAGTCCACATTAAAAAAATTCGATATGCTTTATATAAAATACAACTTGGGCACAGAAGTGCACACTTATAACCCTTATTGCTTGAGAGGCTGAAACAGGATGCTAAATTTGAGATCAGCCTGGATAACTTAGCAACACTCTCTCAAATACAAATTTTTAAAAAAATTAAAAGGGCTGGGGATGTTCCTTAGTGCAGAGAAGGTCTAAGACAATCCCTAGTACCACAAAAACAAAACAAAACAAAAAATAAATAAAGGAATAACCAAATGGTCTAAACAAAATTTTAAGCCAAACCAGGCATGGTGGTGCATCTAGGCATGGTGGTGTGATTCTGTAATTCAAGCACTGGGGAGGCTAAGACTGGAGGATCTCTGCTAGTTTGAGGCCAGCCTAAGATTCATAGTGAGTTTAATCCCTCTCTAAACTACACAGCAAGACACTGTCTCAAAATAACCCCCTAGGGGCTGGGGTTTTAGCTCAGTGGCATAAGTGCCCGCCTTGCAAGCAGGCGGTCGTGAGTTCGATCCCTGGTACCGATAAAAACCGAAAAAGACCAAAAAAAAAAACCCTAAACCGGGCGTGGTAGCTCATGCCTGTAATCCCAGCACTCCGGAGGCTGAGGTGGGAGGATCATTACAAGTTCAAGACCAGCCTGGACTACAAAGTGAGCTCAAGGCCAGCCTGAACTGCATAGCGAGACCTCATGTGAAAAAAGATAAAATTTTTTGGTTTAAATCAAATCAGGTGTGGTGCATACCTGTAATCCTAACACTCTGGGATGCTGGGACAACAGGATTGTAAATTGCAGCAGTCTGGGCAATTTAGTGACTAGCAAGATCCTGTTTCAAAACAAAAGACCTAGCTTCAAGTCCAAGCGCTACAAAAAAAATAAAAATAAAAAGGCCTACCTTCCCGCTTTATAGTTCAACATTTTAAAATTCATTTTTTATAGCCATGCATGGCACAAGCCTGTAATCCCAGCACTCAGAAGGCTATGCAGGAGGACTGCTATGAGTTGGAGATCAGCCTGGGCTACAAAGTAAGCTCAAGGCCAGCCTGAACAGCATAGTGAGACCCTGTCTCAAAAAATAAAAATAAATATATAATTCTTTTTTTTTACTTGCTTTTTTTTCCCCTGAACATCAGCACTAAAAGATCTGAAATAAAATATTAATTTGCACATAAAATAGTCTTAACTAGCTCAATATTTTGGCTGGTCCTTGTCTTACCTGCTGAGCAATATGAGAAATATGAGTTCCCTGAACTGTTGTAGCAGTCTCTGAAGTCTCTGAAGTGTTATTCTTGTGAGAATCTTCCATAATCAACTGGAAGAGAAAAAAAAAATAGTTAAAAGTTACTATTTATCACACAACACAAACCCATGTAAAAACTGATCATTTTTGCTGGACATGGTGGTACCCACCAGTAATCCCAGCACTTAGGAGGCTGAGGAAAGAGGACTGCCATGAGGTTGAAGCCAACCTGGACACCTATCTCAAAATTAAAAATCAAAATTAAAATTAATTAAAATAAAATAAATTGATCACTTGGTTGCCTCCACAGAACAGAGCTGGTAGGGATGCTATAGAGATAAAACAGAGACTTTTCCTTGCATACTTTTACATTTTTTGAAAACAAAAAAAATTTTTTGGTAATACTAGTGAATTTAATCCAGGCAACACTGAGCTACATTCCCACCCTTTTTAATTTTTTTGACATACTGAGATAGGCTCTTGCTAAATCGTACATGTTGGCTTTATATTTTACTTGGGACCCTCCTACTTCAACCTCCCAAGTAACTGGGATCACAGGCATTGATTGCCCAGCAATTTTTCTGAATTCTAACAAACCCACAAACATTTAAGTTTAATCAATCATACATATGTACATAAATTATTGTTACTAAATTTTCAAATGTTATCCCACTCAAAAAATGAATAACCAAATGAATCTTCTTGTTCACGTACACATATATTCCTTTCTTTCTCCATTCTAGGGAAGAATTCCTGATCATTTTCACAATTTATTCACTAAAAGCCAAACAAATAAAACTGCTTGCAGACATTTTAAAGATGTAGATGAGGCATATACAATCTGCTTTTATTTTATTTTATTTTATTTTATTAATTAATTAATTTATTTATTTATTGACAGGGCATAGTGAGTTGGACCTGAACTCAACTATGTAGCTAAGGGCGGCCTTGAACTCCTGGTGATTCTCCTGCCTCTGCCTCTAGAGTGCTGAGATTACAGGCCTGTGTCACCACGTCCAGCTCAATGGAACTCAAGGCCTCACACTTGCCAGGCAGGTGCTGTGCCACTCAGCTACATTCTGGGCCAAATCTGCCTCTTTTTAAAGATGTTATAAAATAAGTATCTTTAGGGGCCAGGGCTTTAGCTTACTGACTCAAGAGCTTGCCTAGTAAGTGCAAGGTGATGAGTTCAATCCTTGGTATCAAAAAAAAGTACCTTTAAAGGAAGTTTTGCTTAAAAAAATGAAGTTTTATTTACATATATGTATTTATATGTATTTTTATAAATAAATATACTTTTTTTGTCTTTTTGAGTCAGGGTCTCACTGTGCAGTTCAGGCTGGCCTTGAACTTACTTTGTAGTCTAGGGAGGTCTCTAACTTGCTATGATACTCTTGCTTCAGCCTCCTGAGTGCTAGTATTATGGGTATATGCCACCACACCCGGCAGGTTTTATTAATTATATACAAAAATATTAATTCTATATGTGGCCCAAGACAATTTCTCTTCACTCAGTGGGGCAAGCCAAAAGTTTGAATATGCCAGATCTACATAACTGTGGAGTATGAAAGCAGAGTAAGAATGAAAATAAGTAAATTATAAGAAACTGAGTATGGGGGCTGGGGATTTAGCTCAGCAGCATAAACACCTGCCTTGCAAGCAGGCAGTCGTGAGTTCGATCCCCGGTACCGATACAAAGGAAAAAGACAAAAAAAAAAAGAAAAGAAAAGAAACTGAGTATGTAAAATAGAAAGAGACTGGCAAAAGAGATGGGGAGAATAAAAGTATTTTATATGTATAAAGATATTAAAAAACAAATACCTAGTTAGCATGCATATTTAAAGATGCTTAATATCACTAATCATTAAGGAAATTAAAAATCAAATGTACAACACATCACCTCACACCTATTAAAATGGCTAATATCAAACCCAAAAAGTAAGTGTACTACTATGCTGGTGGAAATGTAAAGTGGTTGCTTTGGAAAATAGTACAGTGGTTCCTCAAAAATATTAAAAACAAGCCAGGTGTGGTGGCACATATTTGTAATTTCAGCACTCGGGAGGCTGAGGCAGGAGGATTGTGGCAAGTTCAAGACCAGTCTGGGCTACCTGAGTTCAAGGCCAGGCTGAACTGCATAGAGAGACCATGTCTCAAAAAGACAAAAGCAACAAGGAAATTAAAAACAGAATTACCCAATGAGCCAGCAATTTTCCCTCTGAGACGTATCTCCAAAGGAATAGAAGCAAGGTCTTAAAGAGATTATTTGCACAGAGATATGGTCATAGGAACATGATTCACAATAGCCAGAAAGTGGTAGCATCCCAAATGTTTATAAAAAGATGGATGAACAGCCACATATGGTGGCACATGCCTGCAATCCCAGCACTTGGGAGACTGAGGCAGGAGGATTGCTGTGAGTTCAAGACCAGCCTGGGCTACAAAGTGAGTCCAAGGTCAGCCCAAACTGCACAGCAAGATGTCTTAAAAAGACGCGCGCACACACACACACACAGGAAAGAGATGAACAAAAATAAAAATGTAGTATATATATATATATATATATATAATAGAATATTAGCTTTAACATTTAACAAATTCTGAAACATGTTACAACATAGATGAAACTTGGGTACATTATGACAAGTGAAATAAACCAGTCACAAAAAGACAAAGATTGTATAATTCCACTTATGTGAGGTATCCTGAGCAAACCCTTAACAATTACCATGTACTTTCTGCCTCTATTAGTTTGCTCTGGATATCTCACATAAGTGGAACAGAACCAAGAATGGTAGTACATGCCTGTAATACTCTCGTAGACTAAGGCAGGAGTATTGACTTTGGGAGACTCTGTCTCAAAATTTTAAAAAATAAAAAGTTTTAAAGGGCAGGAGTTTGGGATATAGCCAGAGAGGAGGGTCAGGGCTAATCCACACTACCATGGGGGTAAAAATGTTCCAGAGGTTAGTTGTACAACACCACAAATGTATTTAATACTACCAAATTATACCTTTAAAATTGTTAAAATGGTAAATTTTGTAAGTACCATATGCAATTTTAAAAAGTCAATCATAAAGGCATATACCTATAATCCCAGCATTCTAAGGGCTGAGACGAGAGGATCCAAAGTGGTTTTTCTTTTGTTTGAATTTTTTTTTTTTTTTTTTTTTAAAGACAGGGTCTCACTATTAGTCCAACTTGACCTTGAACTCATAATGTATGCCAGGTTGGCCTCCAACTCTCTGCAATCCTCCTGCCTCAGCCTCCTGAGTACTGTGGGATCTCAGGTTTGAACCCAGCCTAGGTAATTTAAGGAGTGAGTGACAGCCTGTCTCAGAACTAAAAATTTAAAAGCGACTGGAGTTGTAGCTCAGTGTAAAAGCCTTGGATTCAACTTCCAGTACCATAGGGGGAAAAAAAATCTTAATTACAACACCATCTCAGCACCTGCGTGGCAAGAATAAGGTCCTGAGTTCAATTTCCAATACCAAAAAAAAAAAAAAAAAAAAAAAGCCATCTGATTTGTTTTATAAATGATGAATTTACTTTTTAAAACAAAAGCTTTGGGGGCTGGGGATTTAGCTCAGCGGCATAAGCGCTTGCCTTGCAAGCACGCAGTCGTGAGTTCGATCCCTGGTACCGATAAAAAAAAAAAAAACCAAACTTTATAGTTTCATCTCATAAGTAATGAAGAATACATACTATTTGTAAGTTTTACTGAAATACAGTATAATCTTTATTCTCTTTTAAAAAAAAACTATTCTTCCTAAAACTATGGTAAAATTAACAATGTATTTTTAAAAAAAAACACAGAAGCCAGGCATGGTGGCACATGTCTATAATCCCAACACTTTGGAGCAAGAGGATCACTGAGAATTTGAGGCCAACGTGGGTTATATAGTGAGTTCAAGACCAGCTTACACTGCAAAGCAAGCCCCCTACTTTTTCTGGCAAAAAAAATGATTAACAAAAACAAAAGGACCACCAACAGAATCAATTTAGGAAACTCAGAATTTGCTGACCCAACCCAGGCATATTGGCACACTCCTGTAATCCCAGCATTTGGAAGGCTGAGGCAGGAGGATGGTTTCAAATTCAGAGATCAGCCTGGACTACAAAGTGAGCTCAAAACCAACCTGAACTGCATAGGGAGACCTTGTTCCAAAAAACAAAAACAAACAAAAAAGAATTTGCTGACCCAGAGAATTGTAATGCTATGTAGGACACTTCTGAGGAAATCCGTAAAGAAAAACTATAAAGCTATGAAATATGAAACTAAGAATTTTTTTTTTTTTTGGTAGAGCTAGGGATCACATCCAGGGCCACAAGCAAGCTAGGTTAGCACTTCACCGTTGACTATACCACCAGTCCCCTAAGAGCATTTTTACTTTTTGAAGAGCTGAAGTCTGAATTCTGAGTCTTGCAATGAGCTGCATCCCCAGTCCTTTTTTATTTTCAACTGCTAAACTCCCCAGGCAGGGCACAAATTTAAGATCTTCCTGCCTCAGCATTTCAAGAGTATTAGGATTACAGGCATGTGCCACCATGCCATGCCCAGCTCCTACCAACTTTTTGATGTCATCTCTTGGATATTCCTATTGTAAATCAAGGCTCTAGCCAGGCATAGTGGGTAATCCCAGCACTCAGGAAGTTAAGGCAGACCACTGAGAGTTCAAAGTCAGCCTTGGACTATACAGTGTGACCCTGCTGAGACAGAATGAGGTAGAAACAGGGACAGAGACAAGACAGATAGACAGACAGAAAAGGAGAAAGGGAGGGGGCAAGGGGAGAGGAAAAGATTAAAGAACTTGTCATTTACTATTATCTCACAGTAACAAATGGATGAAGCTAAACCTGTTTAATGGAAACTTCCTACCTATATTCCCTCCCTAACAAAAACACCCTCAAATTACCTTTCTTAACTGCCCCTTCTCTCTCTTAATGCCTGTACTGTATTTTAGCCCACATTTCTAAAGAAGTTACTTAACACTAAGGTGTGTTAACTGGCCTGTGTTTCCCCTTTTAAACTGCCGAAGGACCTAAGAGACCTTCCTGTACTAAACCGTAAGCAGCATTAACTACAGGACAGTGTTTCCATCTGAGAAGGGAGGTCTCCTTGCTGACGGAGGATGCTGAACTATGATCAGCTGTAGGACACAGTGGGCCCTTGCTCAGTACACATTTCCACAACCGAGTTCACTCTTCCCTCACCTATTTCTACCCCTGAATCTTCACTACTATTTTTGTTTTTACAGCAGTCCATGTCATGTTATAGTGTACTTTTTTTCTCTTTTGCTTGTCCCAAACTCACTGTACAGAACCTCTTTTCCTACTTTTAATAAATGTAAAACTCACGGCTTCTCTCAGTTCCTCCAACAGTCCTCTCCTGTCTAAACTCCGTCCTCTCCTCCGGGCGCTATCCGCGTCGCTCTCAGAGCGGGCGCCGACTCGGTCACAGCTGTGCGAGAGCCCCGACAGAGCCGCCAGCGCCCAGCACAGCACCGCCCTGGCCTTTCGGTCCCCACCAGAAAGGAAGCCCCAGGCTAGGGAAGACCACATCCCGTTCCCAGGGAGGCACTAACGCGTTCACAGTTACGCCAAATAAATTACCGTTTACTTAGATACATCTACTTAGTAAAACAGAACACTGGATACAGAAACTTCTTAGATTTACTGCACACCAGGTTTGCAAACAAAGCAACGGAAGCACTAAGACACTACACCAAGCAGGAGACGAAGTGAAAGTGTGTTTTTTGAAGGGCGTACTGAAGGGACATAACAAACCTAACAGCCCTACAGGATAAACTATATTAATGTACACGGTACTGTATTATTTGGGGGGGAGGGTCTGTTTGTTTTAGAGACAAGGTCTCACTATGTAGCCAACGTTGGCCTCGAAAAGGGTCTCGCTAATCTGACCAATTGAATCTCAAACTTGTAGTCATCCTGCCTCAGTCTCCTGAGTGCTTAATTACTGGTGTGAGCCACCATCCATGAAGATTCAAGTGCTATACAGCTATTACAATGTACTTTAGGACAACAGACTGCCTCTGAGTCGATGGAAAAAAAAAACGCTACTTGGATAAAACACGCATTTCTTGGTAACAAAATTGTAGGAATGAGGCGCATTTTGCCGGCCGAAATGCAGCTCTTCTCATGGGTGAGGCTAATCTGACAAAGATCAAACCAGATCGGCGCCAAAATTGCCTCAGAATGTTAAGGGCTCTCAAAGTTGGTTACTGCCTGGGTGCTCTTTGACGTTAACAGCAGTAGACACCAACATCCGCACTAATCTCAAAGCGACTACGCTGCCCGCACGCTGCACAGTGTAGCTGACTCTGAGAAACCACTAGAAAACCAACGAGGACAGTTCTCCTGGGTCGGCCCTCGGACCGGGCGGGAAGCAGGCGACCTCCCCGCTCCGCCAGGACCCTGCCCGTCCGCAGCCTTCGCACCTCCGCGGCAGCGTAGGGGCGTCTGTGACTCCGGCACTGCCGGCCTCCTCCCCACCGGCCTGTGCGCGGCATGGTGGCTGAGCAGGCCGGGGCCTCGCGGGGCTCACGGCTCCAGCCAAGGCCACGCCGCCCTACCAGCGGCCGCCGACCCAACGCCGCGAGCTCTCGCCTCCCACCGCGGATGGGCGGCTTCTGGCCCTCAGCCACCGACAGCGGGAGCGTCCCTCCACTTTCGCGTGGGGGAGGGGGACAGGCGACGAACGACTGACTGGAGCGCAAGGCGTGCGGCGGAGGCGCGAGCACCGGAAGCGCGCTCGGCCCGGACGGCAACGGCCCTCCCCCTTCCGCCGCGCGCCCCTCCCCCACCGCGGCCGCCGCGCGCGACCCCCACTTGGCGCGCGACCGATCGGCGCGGCTTCCCAGGCTGCGTCGCACTCCAGAGCCCTCCGCGCCCGGGGCTGGGGCACACGTCCTACCCCTCACCCTCCCCCGCTTACCTGTGGCTGTCGCCTCGCCGCTCTCCGGGGCGGGAACTTCTACGCCCCCCTCCCAGGTGGATCCGAATTCACTACCCACTTCCCCACCCCTCTTGCGGTGGGGGACGTGCCTGTTTCTCAGGGGGTCAGGCGGGGCTGGGAAAATCAGTGTCACTTGACAGCCAACTGTCCTAGGCTACCGTTTCGCGGCCGTCTGGGCCGCCACTGGCGGCATGATCTACAACAGGCCGGGGGCAGGGGAGGGGGGGCGACACCGAGTGCAGGAGTGCGTGGGGGGTGAGGCTGGGCGGGGCCTCCGTGCGGGCCCCGTGCGTCACCACGCTGCTCACGTGACGCGCCGCCATCTTGGCCTGGCCTCTCCGGAAGGCTCGGTGTGCCCTCCCACGGTGTGAGGCCGTTGAACGCCAGTAGAGCGGAAGTCGCCTTCCTTTTTTTTCCGCTGCAAGTTTTCTAACCCAGTTCCTCCCACATGTGTTTCCGCAGGCCCTCAACTGTTGGATTTCTGTGGAAGTTTTCGTTGGGGGTGCATTTTTCTTCGTGCAATGGCGTCCTTTACCCAGATCCTTGCTCTGTCATGTGAGACAGACCTGGAGCTGTGTCCTTTGGCCCACACCGCTGTCTGCGTGTTTGCTTGGACGGACAAGGGAATTGTTGGAAACTTGCTTCCTTAGCTTCTCGTACTCAGATGATTCTTAATCCTGTAAAATAAGGAAAGGGCGTGGTGTGTACGCCTTAATCCTAACACTGGGAGATTGAGGCGGGAGGGTTGTTGGAGAGTTCCAGAGACCAACCTGGGCTGCAAAGTGAGCTCAAGGCCAACCTGAACTGAGATCCTGTTTCAAAAAGACAAAAACAAATATGAACTACATAGCGAGACCAAAAGGGGACGATGTAGTTGGTTCAATCCCCAATACCGGAAAAGAAAACATTTTGTTGTAGCCAGTAACCCCACATAAAAATTTTTAGGGCAGTGCTGGGAATTGAACCCAAGGTTTCATCCATGCTATATGTGCACTCTAGTGCTGAGTTGTACTCCCAACCGAAAAGAACTTTTTATAGAGCTTGATTTAGAATACAAGATAGCAGGCTGGGGGTTTAGCTCAGCGGTGTAAGTGCCTGCCTTGCAAGCAGGCAGTCCTGAGTTCGATCCGTGGTACCGATAAAAAGGAGAAAGACAAAAAAAAAAAAAAATAGAACACAAGATAGCTGGGCATGGTGGTACAAGCCTGTATTTGCAGCAAGAGGGTCACTGTGAGTTGAAAACCAGACTAAAGTACAGTTTTGTTTTGTTTTGAGACAAGCCTCAGTATATAGTCCAGGCTGGTCTTAAACTTACTATGTAGCCCAGACTGACCTCAAATTTGCAGTGATCCTCCTACCTCAACTTCATGAGTGATGGGATTACAGGCATGCACAGCCGCCCACCCCTGCTGGGCTACATGGTGAGCTCAGGACCATAATCCCAGCACTCCGGAGGCTGAGGCAGGAGAGTTGCCATGAGTTTGAGGCCACTCAGATCAAGGCTGGCATGAACTACATGACTCCCTATCTCAAAAAATAAAAACAGTTAGATACCCTAATTGGGTAGGGTATGACTGTTTAGACCGTAATTTCTTCCAACTCAGAAATGTTTTTTTAAAAAAATTACAGTCAGACCTAGTGACACAAACCTGGAATGCCAGCATTCTAGAAGGCTGAGGCAGTCAAATTTAAGTCCTGCCTGAGCAATTTAGTAAGATCCTGACTAAAAAAGGGCTGAGAGAGAAAGAAAAACGGGGGTGGGGGGGCCTGAGATGTAGTTCAGTCTGAAGGACCTGAATTCTATCCCCCTCCCCCAGCAAGGCAGGAAGTTGTTGAAAGCTCTAGTAAAAGCCCTGTGGCCTATAAAATAGGACTATTTTTGCTTTTTTGTACTTCAATACTTAAATCCAAACTGGGCGCGGTGGTGCACTCCCTGTAATCCCAGTACTCACTGAGGCAGGAGGATTGTTAAGTTTGAGATCAGCTGTCTGAACCCCCATAGTGAGACCTTGCCTCAAAAAGAAAAAGAAAAAAACAGAAACAACTTGAGTTTATATCCAGAAAGATGCAGTCTTAGACAAGTCCTAAATTTGTTGGGGCTTGAAAATTGGTACCCTGGGGCTGGGGATTTAGCTCAGTGGCATAAGCGCCTGCCTTGCAAGCAGGCAGTCATGAGTTTGATCCCTGGTACTGATAAAAAGGAAAAAGACAAAAAAAAAAATTGGTACCCCAAAATAAAGGCCTCAAAAGCAGTCTTTTTTTGCTTTTGGAGACAGTCTTGCTATGCAGTTCAGGCTGGCCTTGAATTCACTTAATTTCTTTTTTTTTTTTTTCCTTTTTATCAGTACTGGGGATCGAACTCACAACCACCTGCTAGCAAGGCAGGTGCTTATGCCACTGAGCTAAATCCCCAGCCCCCGCTTAATTTATTTCTCACACTGGCATAGAATATGCCGGCCTCAGCCTTAAGCTAAAAGCAGTTTTTTCCCTACTTTTTCTTACCTTCTAGCCTGTCATTCCTTGTTCTTTCTGGAAACAAGCCATAGAAACTAGGATTCGTGTTTCTCACAGTGGATTGTAGAAACCAGAACCCTTTTTCCCCAAAGCCAGCCATAAAACTTAAAAGGCCTACAAAACAGTCGACGAGTTAGTCATGAAGAAATGAAGACTTTGATTGCATAGGGGTTCTGCCCCTTCCCTGAAGACAGGCTACAATTCAGAAATCAAGCACACGCCTTGCTAGGCTCCCCACCCAGCCTATCATCATCATTAGCTTTTTTGTTTTGTTTTGTTTTTTCCTTTTTGAGACAAGGTCTCACTATGCAGTTCAGGTTGGCCTTGAGCTCACTTTGTAGCCCAAGCTGGTCTCGGAACTTGAAACAATCCTCCTGCCTCAGCCTCATGAGTGCTGGGATTACAGGCCTGAGCCACATACCTGGCTCATTAGCTGCTTTTTAGCCAATCATCTTCCTACTTGGCTGTCCTTGTTTAATTGAACCTAAGCATAACAATGGATATTTCACCTGGGTCACTGGCTCTTTGGGTCTTCAATCTGAAGGGCTTTGTGTCACACAAAACTATGATCAAATCCATTTGTGATGGTTTTCTCTTGTTACTTTTGCCTTCTGTTATATGGTGTTGGTAATGACCTTTAATAATGAGCAGGAAAGGGATACCTTGCCATTTGTGCTATATGGAACACAAATCAACTGCATGAGCAGATTTAAAGCTTAGAACTTGCTAATATCTTCCACCTGGGAACAATGCAGATAAGCTGAGAGCAGCCCAGGGAAACTTTCTAGGCCCCAGTTCTGTTATCAAACTTTTTTTTTTTTTTTGTCTTTTTCATTTTTATTGGTACTGGGGATCGAACTCACGACTGCCTGCTTGCAAGGCAGGCACTTATGCCGCTGAGCTAAATCCCCAGCTAGGCCCCAGTTCTGGAACTTGCCTGAAACACAGTTGCTTGCCATGGCCCTTAGTTTCCATGCCTTTTGTCCTTTTCGTAAGTGCCCGCCTCTTTTATTTCTTTGAGGTGGGGTATCCCTATGTTGTCCAAGTTGGCCTTACTATGTCAAGTAATCCTCCTACCTTTGTCTCCTGAGTAGCTGGCACTAACGTGTGCACCACCATGACAGGCCGAGACCTAAGTAGCCCCTTATTACTTTAAACTAGTTTACTTTGGTTGCTGGGATACAGAGTAAAATAATTTCTGCTTGAGGGGCTGGGGATTTAGCTCAGCGGCATAAGTGCCTGCCTTCAAGTGTGTGGTCGTGAGTTCGATCCCTGGTACCGATAAAAACGAAAAAGACAAAAAAAAAAAATTTCTGCTTGTGACCTCCCCCTCATCTCTACCCCACCAGTAACTACCATTTTAGTCCAAGCTCTCATTCTTTCTTTGCATATTCCAGTAGCCTGCTAGTTCAACTAATAAAACTTTACAGTGGACAAACACTGGTTATTGTGTGTGTTAGATTGTATAAGCAAACAAATCACTTAACTTTCAAGATTATGAAGTAAGACAGCTTGGAACTGACAGTTCCAGTAGAGGCTTCTCAGTGTTGGTCAGAGCAACAAGAAGTCCCACAGGCTACTGGACTGAGGAAAAGGGGAGCAGCCAGACCCCTCCCATAACAGCTAAAGCTGACTTGGTATGGGGGGCACACAGCTGTGATACCAGAAGGTACCACCGTGAGTTCAAGGCCAGCCTGGGCCATGTACTGAGACCTTGTTTCAAAAACAAAAAAATAAAAGGGTAAATCTTTTTTTTAATTTTTTTTTTTTTTTGCCTTTTTCGTTTTTTTATCGGTACCAGGGATCGAACTCACGACTGCCTGCTTGCAAGGCAGATGCTTATGCCGCTGAGCTAAATCCCCAGCCCCTAAAAGGGTAAATCTATTGAGAACAAA